AGCCAGTGGCCCCCCTGCGAGGGCAGTGGCCAGTGGTGTGGCAGGGTCCTGGCCCAGCTCCTAACGTTTGCTGCTGCTGGTGTGGGGCTGTGGGACAACTCGGGGTGGGGGCTACACCTCAGTCCCAGCACTGCCTCCCCAGCACGACTGCATCTGAGCTGGGGCCCCGCTGGGCTCCTTGGGTCTCCATCTCCCCTGCCTCGTGCAGGAGACAAACGCCAGTGCAAGCTGCCCTGGGTACAGACTGTGAACAAAAATAAGTTACTGCTCCAATAACTTAGTTATTATAAAATAAGTTAGTGTTCTAATTCTTATCTCTATAAATACGTCACATTTTGCACTTGGGTGGTGGATGAGGAGTGGCTGGGGAAGCCCCTGGGCTCACGCTGGGATGCCAGGAGCCAGGGTCCGTCCCCCCTGGGGAACTCTGTCCATCCTGCCCAGGGCCCCCACACGGGGCTGATGTCACAGGTCCTGCTGTATCCCCACCACAGCGTTTGCCACCGGCCAAGGGACATTGCTGGGTGATACCTCCTCCGAGTGCCAGCGTCCTGGCACCACCACAGGTCCCTACTTCCCTTCGCAGAAGCCGCAGAGGCACCCGAGGCAGCCGTTGAGGATCTGGAGGGAGGCCAGCACCATCTCAGCAGCACTGATGAGCACCAGGAGCAAGAAGAAGCTGCCGTTCCAGGCCACGACACCCTCTGGCTCCAGGCAGATGCTCCAGGTATGACGATCAAACAGGTAGTTCCATGCCCTGTGTGAGCAGGAGAGGAGGAGCTGCACAGAGGTGGCCCCAGGTGCCCTGTCCTTCATCCCGAGGAGGAGCAAGGTCAGCAGGGGCTTGGGGCTGGGAAGCACCACGTACAAAACCATGGAAGATGAGGACCTCTTGGGTCGTCGGGGTCTTGCATCACCACCAGCGAGCCAACCCACTCCACCCCCCACCAATAAACCCCTCAACCCTGCTGCCTCACCTGATGTCAGGCTCCTGGTGACCGCCGTCCACGAAGGGGTAGCCCCAGTGGGCACCATGCCCACTGCCACGCTCGGTGGTGTTGTAGAAGCAGAGGGGTCCGTTGGTCAGACCCACACCGGAGAGGACGAGGCAAGCAGCAGCTCCCAGGAGCGCCAGCTTGGAGAGCACCGCAGAGATGAAAGCCTGTGGACAGCCCCCGGGCAGGGACTCAAAGTCAGGTGGGCTCCAAAACGTGTCTGCGTGTCGTTGGCAGAGTTTGGCGAAGGGGCAAAGCTCTCCCCTTCACCCCCAGCCTTGGGGAGCCAAGGATGAGGTCGGAACCACCCCTGGGTTACCTCCAGCTGGGCAGAAGCAGGCGTGGAGTGAGGGCAGGCAGGGAGCTGCCCCACGCAGCGTGGTGGTGGGGC